CCCCCCCCCCCCCCCCCGTTAGCGAACTCCCAGAAAGGAGAGTGGGCAGGCACTGTCTCAGACTGCCCCCAACTCCTGCCGGGATGTCACCTCAGTCTTGGTGAAGGTGACCCAAGTCCTGCCCGGGTCCCTGGAGTCCCCACCGCAGGTGGGCCTCCTCCCAAGAGTCCTTGGCTGGCTCCTCCTCCCACCTGCCCCGTCTATGATACCAGGCGGAGCTTCTGCAAATGACTCCTCCAAGCTCCCACCCAGACCCCGCCCCATTAAACACACCCACTCAGTGTCCGCTCAGACACCAGAGGGGTGCATCCGGGGGTGCTCCGGACCCCTCCCTTGTCCTCGGCAAAGTCGCTCCTCCGGCAGCTCAGGCCCTCGGCGGAATGTCCACAGGCTCGACCTCCCATCTCTTTTCCTAACAGACTCCCTCCACTTCTCTCTCCCCCCGCCACAGTGGGCTCCTGGGATTCCTTGACCACTTAACTCCAACCACTCCAGGACCTTTACACTTCCCATCCCCATTTCCTGATACGCGCTCCTCCACCCCCACCACCAAGACAGCTCCACGGCCTCCGTGGGCATTTGCGACCCCCCTTCCCGGTGTTGTTCTTTCCCTGGACTCCTCTTCACAAGGGTCAGGTCCTTATCTTCCTCGGGTAGCTGCTTACGCAGCCCTCCATCTGCCCGTGATGCTTCCGTCGGGGGAGGGCCGGCGCACAGAGCTGTGGGGTAGTCGCTGGGACAACGGGGACACGGAAGAGACGCACGCCTGCCCGCCAGACCTTGCACTGTGGAGGCCGTCCTTGAGCGGGGCCCACGGGGAGGGGCTGTGCGAGGAGGAGTCCGCCCGCTGACGGAAACACCCTACCCGCAGCTGGCTGCTAACCGAGCATGTTATCTGGGCATCCCACCTGCCCTTAAAGACCCTTATCTCTCCCTCCCTCCTCAGACCACCCGGGCAGAAGCCAGCCTATCAGTGAGACCCCTCCCTCTCCCTCAGCGTCTCTCCCTGCCCTGCCTGTCCCAATGGGCTCTGCCTTCCGTCTGCCCTCCACGGAGGGACTGGTGTGGGTCTGCCACCAAATTCTGACTCTGGCCCTTTCCATAAACACAGCGAGTATCTCTCGTGGGCCTACGGTGCCAGGTGCCGTCCACATGCTTGCAATGCAGTCGTGACCGAGATGCGGGCCCCGAGATGTCTGCTCCCATTGTGCCCTCGAGCAGCCCCAGACCCTGTGGGACACAGGAAGCAGATCTCACCCCACAGCCGCCTTGAGGACTCGGGGATGCATGGAAAGCCCTTATTGCTGGAATTGGCAAAGGCCCAAGCAGGATCTGCTAAGTATTACTGCCATGGTCTATGGAGGGCTCTGTCCATGCTAGTCTCCGCCACTGACCCAACCTCCCGAGTGGCGGAGACTACCGCCCTGAAGCTTCCCGGGCCACCAGCCCTCTGCTAGCTTGGGAAACCCCGTATCTCTGGGGTGGGATGGGGGTGTTCACCCCACTGCTTCTGCCTTGCTGCTGGCTCTGTCTCTCTCTTCTTCACCAGCCGGTTCCCCAAACCCCGTGGTCCCTCAGCCCTTTATGCCTCCGGGCTTGCTGGGGGGGGCCGCCTGCCTGACCCCTTCACCAGGCCGCACATGCTGGGGAGCGCGCAGAGAGACCCCAGGTCCTCTCTGGCCACTCCAGGTGCCCATGCGGCCGTGACTCTGCACACGGGCTGCGTGAGCTGGGGGAGGGGGTGCTGCGGGGACAGCCACAGTTGGGGAGGGAGTCTAGGGGTGCCGTGTGGGGCTGTTGCGTGTGTGGCTGTGGTCTAGAGCTCTCAAGTGTTTCCTTGTCCACATGAGTTATTTTAATTGCCCTTTTGGAGTTCACGCCCCTCGCCTACTGGTACTTGTGACCTGAGCAGAGTCTATCCACGTACCAATGGGAATTTATGGTGAAACAGTCAACCTTCAACCCTATTCTGGTAAATTATCGGCTTTGCGAATATCACCAGCAAATTGTTCATTACAAACCACGATGAAAATGAAGTTCAGTCCTTGTCCAGCCAAAATATAATTACAAAGTTAAGTCTGTTGATGAGGAAAACAAAGCAAACTCAAAAAGGCATGCAGTCCAGTCTCCTGACAATTATTAAGATTTATGTGTTTACTTCCTTTTGCTTGGGTCAGCTGTAGTTATCTCCACAGAACAACAGTCACTGAGTGTGTCCCACACTCAGCCGGACGTGCGGCTTGCCCCCTGCAGAGCGGTGGGGGCCGCCCTCACCATCTGCGGCCCGCGCCGGTCAGAGGGAATCGAAATCTTGATCTTGGAAATGTCAAAGAGGCCGTGAGGCATGGCTCATTTCCCCCTCCCTTGTCCAAAGACCCCTTTCAAGTGTATTCAGCAAAATGAACCTCTGTATTTTGTTAAGGTGTGTGGCTGTCTCCAGGTAAAGCGAGATACCGGCCCCCGCCTCCACCTCCAGAGGGAGGGGACGACCCCAGGACTGGGTCTTCCAAACGCCAATCCGTTGTTCTACTCAACAGTCTTCCTGGCACGTACGTTGTTCGACGGATCCCCGAACACGAGTCTGGGGACACTGTATCCCCACACAACAGGCACAGCAGGATTTTATAAATACTTTAAAAAGAATTGTAACTGGCAAACCTGACATTTGCAGGGACGACAGTTGGCGTATGTGAATTTTCTATAAAGCACTGGAAATCAGCAGATGCAGCGTGGAGCGGAAGGTGAAGGACGCTGTTTCCGCATGACCTGTGGGGCTCTCCACTGCCCAGCCTTCACTCAAGTCTTCAGTCAGGGGACCCCAGGCCCTCCACGGCCAACTCACCCCAGGAAGAAGCAAAGAGACATCTGTGGGGGGGAGAAGGTCTTTGTGTTGCTGAAACAGGCACCCAGAAGAAGCCCAGTTTCTGGATGGCCCTGGACTGACCTTTAAGAAGTCTGGGGCGGGGGGGTGGGCAGTGAGAGCTGTGATGAGTGGTTTGAGGCAGGGAGCAGGGAGCCAGGAGCCTCCCGGGTTTGATTCACTGCCGTGTGCGCCCGTACTGTGTGTCTGACTCCCTTATTCCCACCCTGTTTATCCATTTCTGAAACAGGCAGAAAAAGTAGGAAGTTGGGCACAACCAGCATCCCCTTTCTACGGCCCCTGCCGGCCCCCATGCAAGGTGGGGAACATCATGTTCTCTCCTCTCACCTGACTCTCCTGAGGAAGGCATCAGGTTCAACACTTCGGTTGCCGAGGACGGATTTCTCGTAGAATCGTCCGCATCTGAGTGTGGCTGCTAGATCCCTGGGGAACATGAGGACAGCCGGTTGGGCGGGCAGCCCTGAAGCCACAGACGGCTGGCCCAGGGGATAAGGGGCCCCTGCCTCTTGCCAAGCACCGGACATCCCCCTTCTCCTAACATACACGATCACGTCCCCGCGGGCTCGGGGTAATCAGATTTGGTTCACTGACCGGGAATCTGAATCAGGAAGGACACCAGCATCTTGGCTCTCCCTCCTCCCTTCTACTTTCCCACTGCCGGGAGGAGGCCAAGAATACAGGGAAAAGTCCACCCGACCACCAAATCCATGTGTCCAGGTGACTAATGTCCAGACCGCAGGCTTCCTTTGCATGGGGAGGATGACACTGCCCACAAGCCAACAGAAGCTTGAGTGGGGCAGGACCCAGGGCTCGCCCTCCTCCCTGGGCATTTTCTGGTCTGCTCTGTGTGTGCCCTTTGCCTGCCTCCTCCGCGGAACCTGTTCCGGTGCCAGGATCCATGCAAAGTTCATCACCTGGGGTTCCCAAAGGCCAGGCTTGGAGGCCACGGGAGCGCTAACCCCGGCACTGAACCGGGGATGGGGTGGATTCAGGCCAGCAGCCGAGCTCTGGACCCGAGTCCCGGTGCTGTGAAAAGGGACTGGAGTGTGGAGGAGACGTTATCTCAGGTCCCTTCCGGCGATGGCGGGTGGGGGTAGTTTCAGAGGTTAAGGCCCAGGAAAGGTTCAGAGAGCAGGGGTTCTGGGCGGCCAAATGCGGCCTCGCCCCGCTGGCGCCGACTCTGCGCCCCGGTCCCCACGCGTCCGTGGCCCTCCGTGTCCGCAGGCGGTCCCCGAGGTGGTCCGGGTGGCAGGCGGCGCGGGGCGGGGCGGCAGGTGGGCGGGCTCCGCTCGCAGCCGTGTTTACCTGGCTCGCAGGAAGCCCGGGCGGCGGGGGCGGGAGGCGGGGTGCGCGCCGGGCCCTGGAGCAGCCGCCCTCAGTCACCGCCGCGCGCCCGCGAGGACGAGCCTCCGGCCCCGGCGGCCCGCGTCTCCCTCCCCGGAAGGCAGCGCCGGCAGCTAGCTCCGGGAGCCGGATCCCCACGAGTGGGGCCCGGGCTGCGGAGAGGCGGCTTGGGACCCCGCGGCGCCCTCGGCCTCGGAGCGGCGGACTCGAGGTGGGTGATCGCGGCGGGGGCGGGCGGGGCGGCCCCGGGCTTGGTGTGCGCGCCCCGGAGCGGGGCCCCCGGCACTCTGGGCGGGACCCGGGGCGCGGGGCTGTCCTGGGCAGCGGTGCAGGTGGCAGCCCGAGGCCTCCCTGCGAGTGGGTGGGCGCGGATGTGGGCGCCGGTCTAGGGCGGCGGGCGCTGGAACCCGACGGGTTTTCAGGTGTGGCCTCCGGCCAGGCCCCGAGGCCAGGTCTCTGGAAGGGCGCGCGGCCTAGAGGTGACGGTGGGGGTGGGGTTTAGGGGTGAGAGGTGAGGAAGGTCAAAAGAGGCCGCTCCTGGCGACATGGACCGGGTGCTGGTGGCGAGCTGAAGGGCAGGCTGGGGGTCCCTGCCAGTTCTAAGTGCTTGCTAGTTCCACGCGCGGAGCCCCGCGGACGCCCCCGCACCCCACCCCGGAACGAAGCAAGTTTCTCTTTGATCACGGAGAGGGGGGGCGGCGACTGGAGACTCGCCTGGCTTCCGCCTTCGTCGGGCCTGTCCCAGCTCCAGCGCGCGCTGCCTGCAGCCGCTTGCTGAGGCCACCTGCACCCACCGGCAGCCCCCGGGGCCCACCTGCGGCCACCTGCGCGCATGGCGCCTGTGACCTGGGGGCGGGCGCTCCGCCTGGGCCCGGCGCGGTGGGTGGTGGCCCCCATGATGTGTTCTCCCCTCACTGCGCTGACGCCCCTTGGCTCTGGGTCTCCTGGGATGCTTGGTGGCAGCTCCTGGTTTCTTTCAAGGTCCCAGTTCGCCCTCAGTTTCGCAAGGCAGAGTGAGGTTTACAAAACGTTTAAGTTTCTTCGGGGATCTCAGTAAGTCTCTGGCAGGAAATAGGCGCATTCTGGTTCCTGTTCTGTGTTTTCCAATTGCGACAACGTGAGAATCAACAACGAGTGTGCCATTCAGCTCCGCAGCCGTGGCAGACGTGTGAGGGGGCTAGGGTGTGAGCTGAGGGGTTTAAACATGGTTCAGGGGGGCCCCTGGCTGACCTAGGGGGGGACACCCACACTCAGCTGGAAGAAGTTTTCAGAGGAAGCAAGGTGTCAGAGCACCCTAATACCTCTGGTTATTTGAGATTGTAACTCACCAGGGACCCGGACATTTTACAGACCATGGCCCACAGGTCGGGGGCTAGTGGGCATCAAGGCTCACTGGCAGGCCACCCGTGGGCGGCGGTGGGACCCGCTGGGACATCACTGCCTCGTGCCTGGAGCTGGGGAGCCCAGACCAGAGCAGCCCTTCTTCAAGGGTGGCCCAGCAGACCTGCTGGGCCCGTCGGCCTAATAACATGTTTCTACCACACAAGGAGAAGGGCCCAGTAGCAGATTTATGTTTTTAAGTGGAACAAACAAAAACCTGAAGGGAAGGAATCCAGTTAAAAGTGACAGTACAGTGCTGGTTAGGAAGATTTCTCAAGGATTTGACTATTCTGAAATGACTGCTTTTATGAACTCAGGGTGGAACCGAAGCTATTTGGTTCAAATCCACTTTGGCAGTCTTTCTGATGTATCACGATTCTGCTCGAAGGTGAGACAGTGTAAGACAAGGTGCTCGCTCTGGGATTTGGCATTGACTTGCCCCACGGGGGTTGGGAAGGTCGGGTCTTGCTGCCAGCGTCCCCGGTGGCAGTGAGTGCCTGGTGGCCGAGGATATCGGCAATTTTCTTGCCACTTGAACTTATAAACATTAGTTGGATCACGTGGTCACCAAGAGTCTGGTGGGACCGCTCCACCTGTGGGCTGTGCACACTGTCCTTTTCAGCTGCAGCCCAGGCTGTCCCCTCCCCCTCCCCGAGCCCTTGGCACCACTCATCTTGTTCCCCAATTTCTGTAATTTCGTCACTTCGAGAATGCGTATGAACGGAGCCTACAATACGCAGGCTTTCTCAGCCGGCTTTCTTCACTAAGCGCCATTCTCCTGAGGTCCGTTCAAGCTGAGTCTATGTTCTTTTTCATTCCCGAGCCGCGCTTCGTGGGACGTGTGCGTCACCACTCTGGGCTGTTTGTTTGCCTGTTTTAGCCATTCCCTCTTGGAAGGGCACTGGATCGTTGCCAGCTTGGGGTTATTGTGAACACAGTTGTGTTGAACGTCCTTGTACAGGTTCTTGTGTGAGCACAGCTTTCATTTCTTCGGGAATGAATGCCCAAGAGTACAGTTGCTAAGTCATAGGGCAAGCACGTGTTTCATTTTGTAAAAAACTACCGTCCTCTTTTCTAGAATGGCTGCACTGTTTTGCAAGGTGGGAGGGACCCAGGATGTGCACAACACCGACAGCGGTTGGCACCGCGGCTACTCTTTATTTTAGCTGTTCTACCATGAGATGTGTGGTGACATCGTGATTTTGATTTGCATCTCCCTCATGGGTAATGACGTGGAAGATTCCCTGCGTGTATCTGCCATCTGTGCACCCTCACAGTGAACAGCCTGTTTGTGTCCTTGCCCATGTTCTAATTGGGCGTTTGGTCTCGATCGTTCTTCCTATGTTCTAGACGGTGGTTCGGTGGTTGGCAGTTATATTCTGGTAGTTGTCTTTCATCGTCTTTCCACAGGGTTGTTGGTAGAGAGAAAGTTTTTCAACTTGACGAGATCTGTTATTAATTTTTTCTTTTCAGGGTTGAAATGGTGGGGGAGGGTGAGAATGCTCTGCCTAGCCTGAGGTCCTGGAGATTTTTCTCCTGTTTTGTTTTTTTTTTTCCTGCCTAGTGTCGTTTCGCATCTTACACCTAAGTCTGTTTATTGTTCATTGTTGAGTTCATCTGTATATCGAATGTGAGGTGTAGGTCGAGGGCTTTTCGTTTGGCTTTGATTTACTGTTGCCTATGAGTGTCTGTCGCTCCCGGGCTGTTGTCGAACAGAAGGTCACTCTTCAGTCTAGCCGCCGTGCTCCTCTGTCAGAAGTCACTTCCGCATACTCGTGTGGGTCCGGTTCTGGGCTCTGGGTTCTGTTCCACCCATCTGGGTGTCTGTCCCGCCACCGGCCCCACACCGGCTTGATATCCACAGCAGCACAGTAAACCTTCACAAGGGCTAGAGCGAGTCCCCTTACTGTTTGTCTTACTGGAATTGTGGCGACTCCTCCGCATCCTGCGTCTTTCCGCTCACAAGGGTTAGAATAGGCTCCTTTAGGTCTGCATCTCTCAAGGAGATGTTGATTTCTTTTAAAAATTAATTCACTTTCCTGAAGAGTGAAGGGGTTAACGTTTTCCAAAAGAAAAGAAGAAAATAAGGTTTTATTCGTAAGTGGTTAAACAAATTTCATGTTTAGTTTTACAGTAGAGGCGAATGTAAAAAATATACCGACAGGCACGTAAAGAGGAGAAAGAACATGGACAGGTGGGCTCAGAGCGCAGAGGAGGACAGAGGCAGAAGGGAGGCTTTCTCAGTGTCTGACGGCCTAGCTCATGGCCAGCATGGACACACACATACACTCTGATGCACACCCCCCCACAATTCTGCACACGCACACGCACACCTGCTCACATCTGGAGTCCATGCGGGTGGTCTTGGGGACATTGCTCCTTGACACCTTCGTCCTCAGAAGGGTAAAGCAGCACTTTGCACAAAAAGGACGACCACTGTGCTTCCCAAATGTTATTCTATTTGTTTTATTTTTAATTGCTTTATGAAGCAGTCCCCACACTCAGCATGGAGCCCACCGTCGGACTTGAACTCACAACCCTGAGATCAAGACCTGAGCCAAGATCAAGAGTCAGACACCACTGGGCCACCCAGGCGCCCCCCGAGTGTTATTTTAAATAAGGTTTAATCTTCTGAATTTCTCAACCCAGGAGTTGATTTTTATGTGACACCTGTTCTTTCATAATACGTGTGTTTTTAGGACATACATAAAATCCATTAAAGGCTTAGTTAATCTGCCCCTCTCCCGAGACAGATTTCTTTTCTAAAAGGACACAGACCAACTGAATAATGGTGCCCGCAAGGCCCTGGAGGGAGGCTGTGCATCCCGGTGGGGAAGCCCAGCCATGTGCCTTCTCCGCAGTCCCTCTCCCCACATCGAATCCAGCAGGGTTCGTCCCCAGAGAATCCCGAGTTCTCTGGGGCGAGCACGCCTGTCAAGTGGCACATCTAAGGTCTCAGACACAGGTCCCAAACCTCTGGTCCTTACAGCTCCCCAGAACTTGCCTTCACAAGTCAGAGGCCCCGGATCAGGACAGGGCTGCCCTCACCCTCCCCAGCCACCCTTGGCTGGTGCCCCCAGGCCCAGTCCTGTGATCTTGCCTTGTCCCCGCAGGCCACACGAGCACCTGGGGAGGGCCCAGAAACCAGGGGCCTTTGCAAAACAGCTCCTCTTGGAGAGAATTGGATAGGAAAACAGTCCAACTTTTCACCTGCAGGAACTCGAGAACATCTCTCCTGATGGCGATAGGACACCCCACCTCTGTACTCACACCGGCTTTGAAAAGGGGTCAGTGGCTCGTAGGTGGTGACAAGGAGGGTGTGTGATGGGGTGTCTCTGAGGCGAAGCCACAGCCTTCCTACAGGAAATGAGTTTCTGCTCTGAGCCCCTTGGCTGTTTTTCTTCAGGGCGAGGTGCTTTTCCTTCATATGTATTGCAAAATCAAAAACACAAATATAGTTTAGGACATTTTATGAAATGCAGTGGTTTTTAACAGCATGTGGATTTTGATTATGCAGAAATGAAGGCTTGGGTTTGGTTTCTGTCTCCCGGTTTTAAAACCATGTAGCAGACTGAGTAGTGTCGACGCTTGTTCTGTGAACAGACATGACTTGGTTGTACTTAGACGCTGGGTTTTGGTTTGATCTGCCGTCAACATTCAATGCCGACCATCTTGACATTTGGAGACTGCGTGCACTCTGAGCGCTCTGCTGCTGGGGGCCCACGCTCGCTCATGGAGCCGTGTCCCGCCCTGCAGCCCGCGGGGGACAGAACCGTGGCCCACAGCTGTGCTGCCCTTCGGGACCTGGCTCCCCGTCCCCACCACCCCGCG